ATTCTTGCATCAGAATTGATTTCGAAATTTCATCCGAAAATTACTGTGTCATTCATATTTTTTCCTCTGAGCGTTTTATTGAAATTGAAACATTTGAAATCTGTATTTATTGTTTCGCTACAATACCTTTGTTATTTCAATTTTACAGATGATTTCAATACAAACTACGAAATGCGGTTTCATGCATGTTTACGTTCAAGGCAATTTGGATGATCGGAATGGCAAGACTATCGTCATGACTGTACATGACGTTGGAACAAATTGTACGTCCTTTGCTTTATTTAATCACATTTTTGAAATAAATTTTTACAAAATTTTTTACTAAATAAGTAATTTGGCATGTCAATTTGCCTATAATTTTCTTATGGGAAAATGATGTGAAGTAATAAAGTTGAGCTATTTTCCATTCCATTTTTGTGCTGAAAATTTTAGCGCGTTGAGTTGTTGCTAATGCATGTCCATTGTAAGAAATCTTGGTAGTCGTCCTTTTTTTTCAAAACTTTGTTTGCAGATAAAAGTTTTGTACGCTTCTGCAACCATATCTCAATGGCTGATGTGAAAGCTAAGTCAATTTTTTTGCATGTTTGCATTCCTGGTCAGGAAGACAATGCACCGGATTTTGTGGGAGAGTGAGTAATTACTTCTATTCATTTATTTGAATTAAAGTCTAATAATTACTTGATTGATAAATGAAGTTCCTACTGAAATCAACAAAACAAGTATCACCATAGTTTAGAGAGACTTGCATACATATTCTTTTGATAAGAAATTTGATAAGAAACTGAGAACTCAATTGGACAGTGTCGTCAACTTTCTTTAAATATGGTATTTGATTCTTGGTTCGTCTGCTATAATTGATTAAAGGAAGTTTGGTTTTCATTTTCCAATTAAACGAAAGAGGTAATTATATCGCAATTGAATAAAGGTATCCATGGAAACTATATTCGTATTGAAGTAGTTATGAAATCAGATATCCTTATTAAAATAGTTTGAGTTTTAAATCTCTTACCAAAATAAGCAAGTCATTACTTCCAGTTTTCCAACACTTGACCAACTTGGTGAAGATCTTGTTTGTATACTTGATAAATTGGATATAAAAACATGCATTGCATTTGGTGAAGGAGCTGGTGCAAATATTATTTGTCGTTTTGCTGTAAGTTTAGTGCATCTACTTTATTTTTTTAAAATGAACTTTATATGATCATACATTATTTTTATACTCCTTTAAGAACTGATTTATCGTGTTTATTTTTTAAATTTGTTCCGTTGACAAAGTCAACCCAAATTTTGGGTTTGATTTGTCAGTGTCAGTGTCAAGGTTAGGCAGAAGTTAGTGACATGCTCAAGTTGTTTTACTGTTGAAATGCACCACAGTGAATTGTTGATTTTTATATAATAATCCAATATAAGTTTTGCAGATGTCTTCTCCAAATCGAATTATGGGAATTTGTTTGGTGCACTGTACTTCAACTACTGCCGGAATTATCGAATATTGCAAGGATAAAGTTTGTTGTAGGAACTATCTTTTACAAGCAATGCAACAAGTGCAATTTTTTGTTTGTTAAGAATTCGAATTTATTTTAAATTAAAAAAATCCGAGCTTGATTGTGGAAAACCCCATAATACAATGCACTTTTCATATTGCTTATTGTACGTTTGCGCTGCTGTTGCATTTGATTTTCGAACCTTTCTGTCAGCGTCTAGCTGGTTTATAATTTGTTTATTATGAGTTATTTTCCTAATCATTACAGTTTATCAACATGCGACTTGAGTCAGGAGTTATGTCACAAGGTGCATGGGACTACCTCGCAATGCATAAGTTTGGATGTGTAAGCTTCCAGTTTTCTCTTTCATAATGTTTGATGTGGAATGAGCGAAATATAATATTATTTTCACTGACAGTTTGAAAATAATTTCAGTTAACATATCGTATTCTAGACCGACAAACGAGAAAAGCAGACATATATTGAAGAGCTGAAGAGTTGCTTAAATCCGAAGAATCTTAGCAAATATCTTTATAGTTTTTCGAAGAGGAGTGACATATCATCTCTTATTGGTACTAAGTTGGATAAGTTAGTTTATATTTCCATCATCGAATGAATGGATAGCAAAATTTACTGAATGTTTGGGTATTGCCTATCAAAAAAAAGTTGAAAAATGAATGTTATATCGCTCAGGTTTTTGATTTTCATAATTTACTTGTCTATTTCAATTATCAGTCATATTTAAAACATATATTAAACTCAGGTTTTTTTTTTCAAAACTTTGATTGGTTTTAATACAAAATTTTGTGCAAATTGTTGATTAAGAATGAATTTTGCGTTCGAAACAAAACCGTATGAAATAAGTTTGTAATTTTAATTAGTAAAGGAAACATTTACAGCATGGATGCACTATTGGTTACTGGTGCACGGGCATCACATTTGCATACTGTCTACACTACGCATAAATCGATGAATAAACGAAAAACAACACTGTTGGTTGTGGATAATGTTAGTGATGTGATGGCTGAAGCGGTTCGTTCTTTATTCATTTAAATTTAACGAAAGCTATATATGCATCTTTTTACAATTAAATGACTCTATCTGAATGGTCTGAATTTTTAGCCCGAAAAATTGGCACGTTCGTTAATTTTGTTATGTAAAGGTTGTGGTGTGTTATCCGGAGTAGCCATTCCTGGAATGGAGCGACAACGTACACTAAGCAGGTTTACAGAATTTTTATGCTATCAAAAAATTATAAAAAGGAAAATATAGTAGACATTCTATGTATATGGAATTGAATTCAGATTTCTCAGTAATTTAACTTTCATTTCCATTTTCAAATGTCGCTGTATTTTCCTTTTCTTTTTTAGCTCAATGGAAGAAGCAGATCGCCCACGACGTTTTTCGCTTTCACAACCAACAGCGCCTGTTTTTCAGTGATTTTGTTCATACTTTCGTAAGAAGTGACCAATTTGGAGATGTTCTTTTTTGGCTCAAGACTATCAAAGTTAGTTCAAAACAGAATTTTCAATGAGTGCATGTGCACAGCATTATTTTGCATGAGTTGCTTTTTGTTCTGGTGCATAAAGAATCAGACCACTTTTAAAAATTTAAGTTTACAGATTAAAAAAAATCCCATTTTGACTTTTTGGCTAAAATGAGCTTTCTGAGCACTTTCATCTCTGTAAGCTTAAATTAGAAACAATCGATATTTCTATTAATGAACCAGTTTTTTTGTACCGATTACATCTGTGAATTCTGTTTATCTCCCTTATTAGCCGATGTTTTAGAAAAAATTTTTTTGAACTAACATTTAAATCTAAATCTCTTTGGCACACTCTTCATCCGTTATGAAGCATCTCTGAGCCCACTTTTAAACTACGCAAAGTCATCAAGACCAAGCTAATTCTATTCCAGTTTTCTCAATAACATCTTTTTTTGCTGCAGCATGGTTGTTTAACACAAAACCACTTTCTGTCAACCTATTTTTCCGTATAAATTTTTTCCATGCTTAAAATATATATGTATATAAATTTTTTTCATGCTTCAAAAATAAAATAGGTCCATAAATGTAAACCTATTTTATTTTTTAACCATGAGAATATTTAATGCCCAGAAAAATGCAAAAGCGGATGAGGAGTTTATTAACTGTTTTCTAAGTGCCATATTTTTCTTTTTTTCCAAAATTTCATGTTGGAATGAGCATTTCCATTCCTTAATAATAAAATGAAGTTCCGGTACACCGTTTAATTTCTTAAAACTATCTCTGCGCTTGAACAACGTCATTTTTTTTTACCTCATGAAACCTTTAACAATATGATAAAATGGATCATTGATGTTAATCTCGCATCACCTCTCATTAGTATTGTAGACATTCTCAAATCAAGCTTTTTCTTCTAAAGATTCCTTCTTTAATATAATCAAGTTCATTCCTATTTTAACCTGAACGGCGGTTTCATTTTCTTGTATCCATTCACTGTCCAACCTGCCGTTCTCTGTTAATTTATCACCGGCGTTTCGCCCCGTATTTCTGGATACCGAATGTATAATAGCATACTACATTGACGAAATAAAATTTAATTTAAAATGTATCCTATGTAAACTTGCATGTCTGTAACGGGTCATTTCAGTATTTCCATTCCTGAGTTGCAGTTCCGACAGACTGTACTGCAAAAGTCATGTCGTTGTTAAATTTATTGGGCATGAAGTGAACAGAGTTTTAGTATAATCATATTTTTCAATTAATATGTGAAGTCATAAGCGCATGAAACATTTTCCCCGAAGTTCTTAGATAATAAAAGGATTACGACTTCAGAAATGTGTGATTCGGAAACATAAGTTATCCTAAATTGTGTTTTCTAGGACGGGTTATACAATATATTCCATGGTTTTCAAAAAAAAATGGTTGAAAAACACAATGAAATATTGGTGACATTACATTGCAGATAAAATCTAATAGTAGAGGGTTTATTTTGCAATTTCGCACAATTCCAACAGTTTTGGGAAAAAACAGCAGTAATTGAAGCCGTAAACCCATTATTACAAAAAAAGTTGCAGAGACAAACTCTTGCCTTTTTTTTAGTTACTTCAGCCGAATGTCGTTTGATGAACCGGTCAACAAAGTTTATATTTTATTTCCAACCTAAAACGAGGGGAACGAAAACTAGTGCAATTCTTCTAACATCAGCTAATCCATTTTCATTATAATAAAATTTAGAATTAAATTAATGCATAAAAATGAGCTAACAAATTTGGCATCATTAATATCAAGCTGGAAAAACGAGATTCTAAACATCCATTCTGCAGGAGAGACACTGAAAAAAATGTAACAGCAAAACAACATCAAAAGCGATAAAACTAGTACAGTTAAAAATCTGTGTGAATTTGTTTTATTACTCTTTGTTCTCCGAAAACTTCATTTTTTCCATTACTGATATGCAAGTTTGAAGTGAAAAAAAAAATAACAAAGACAAATCATCTGAAAATATCATCTCATTAACAATTATATAAATACAATTAAGGCTGCATGTAAAGCTGGTTTTGTGATAACAATAAGGATATATATCCCCGTGTGGACGGATCACGTCGCAAATATCGTTTTTTACCAGCCTTATATAATACCCACAATGCAATATTAACAAGTAAGATTAACGATACAACCCAAAATATGGGGTTTTGGTTACTGACTATTCGGTAATTTGGATGTTGCGGCTTACTCGATACAATTTCACGAAGTGGAAAATACCTGTAACAATAAATTTTTAAGCAGTGGCGAAATATACCTGTATGAACAAAAAAGGCAGTCCACGACTTTAAAGAAACATTTAGAATAAAATTCTCATCAATAGAAACGGGAATCGACTTACAAATTGCCCCATTTCAAATACAATTTTAAAGCTTTTCTTTCCTTATAAAAACTACTCAAGCGTTACTGTCTCGATTTTAAATCCCTCAAAGACTGATCAAGAACCAATAAGAAATAACTGTGAAATCAAGAAATAACAAACCTCATATGATATAATAGAGCTCCCAATGCCCAGTGTGCTTCTTGCCCATTGACATCAAAAGCAGATCGAAAACGATTGTGAGTTTTACTAACGGAAAAACCTTCATGAAGAACAGCTGTTATCCAAGCTGATTTAAAACACTGTGATCGCAGTCGAGCTTCATCCGCCTTCGGATAGACATTATTCCGATATTGCATCTGAAGTTATCTAGCATTATATTCATAATTTGTACACACACAAGCATAAAACTTTTACTTTTTCCAAAGACGGTGAGATTTGCAAACGATGAACTTTAGACAAAATGAAAGTAGAAAATAATGAATTCCGAAAATTTAAAAGCTTTCGTCATGCCAGAGAGAAAAACCAAATCAAAGCTTCAACAGCTGAGGAGTCATAACCTTCAGAAATTATGGCATAAAAAAATAAAAGCATTTCTGCAATTATTAATTATATCAGTATAACCAACCAACCCGTATTGTTGACCATTTCATACGACAAAACTGACGCGCTTTCGATGCTGTTTTACTGAAATCATACTGTCCACCCATGGATAAGACATTTTCCAGCGAGAACCAATACTCACTGAAGCCATATAGTTCAATCTCTGATAGAGAAATCGGAGGGGAACGAACTAGCCCAAACAAACACTTTTGTCCGTAACATTTCGAATTCGCCACTGTTGCCGTTAATAAAAGCCTTACATTCTTTATACAAGTGTCCCAATCCCCAATACCCTGGAAAAATTGAATTCTAATCTGATGGTATAAAGTGAAATGTAAGAGATTATGCACATTTAAGGTATGCCATACAGCTATTAGGCTAATGCAAAGGCAGGAGCAGTTTTCATATTATTTGAATTTGCTGTTTCAAATTAAGGTCCATCCTTAAAGAAATGCAGCGATATTATATTTCATTTTGATGTACATTTCTTGCTTTATGTTGTTCTCTAATGATTTATTATTTGTTGTTCATTTTCTATTTGTTTGAGATTAAAGCTGTATTAGGCAAGAATCAAATTTGACTGATTTCTTCAAGTTACAATGGATCATAAAGTAGCTAAGGCAACTCACAATATCAACAACATATTTGGCCCAAGAACTGCTTATGAATGTATAATGCAAATCCCTTAAAATAATAAGCTCTGAAGAAGGTAATTAAAAGTTAATCGAATTTTCGTCTTCAAAAGGTGACAATAATAAGTCAATGCTGATCCTCTCATACTGCACAAGAAGTTAATGAAGAACGCACGTTGGCTAAAAGTCAGATTGTTATGTGGGATGGAAAGCAGATGATATGAGACAGTTGATAACGATCATATCAATAGTCGGACGAGGAAGCTTTAAAGCATTCCCGAGATCAAACTTGTTCAAAAATTGTCACTCTTTACTCGGTTACTGCTAACACAACTCTCTGAATTCCGGCAAAACCATTACATCCAAGTCTGCAGAATGATGGGAAACGCCTTAGTTGGCATTGGTCAACAGAAAGGATAAATGTGAACAACAACGTTTCAAAAATTAAAGGAACAAATTTTGCCTTATCCGCTATATTCTCATTAATCGATTACTACTGTCGGAAACCGAAATATGATCCATCTCAGATTTCGTAACCTCACATTAACCTTTTGATCATAGTAAATCAAGCGCCAGAAATCTTATGAACTCATAAACTCATCATACCGGTCCTATCCTTTGATCTAGTTTATTAGTTATATGTTCGTTAGGTCAGGTCACACAAATCTCATAAATCCATTGTTTGTCTTTAGGCCAACCTCCAAACTCAATATAAAAGGTCGAGTTACCAATCCAGGGGGTTATTGTCAAGTTCTGGGTGTGTGTTGTGAAGTTCTGGTTTGTGTTTCCAAGTCTTGTGTGTTTTACCCTGCAACATTGGGTTTCACTCGCAATAAAGTATAATTCAACGCGTGTCTTCACATCGTTCTTCTACTACAACCACATTGGAATAGGACTCAACTCTTATCTCATAATCAACGGACTAACATTTCAACAAAGAATTGCAATCCCTCTACTGAATACCTCATAAGAATCTATTAAAATAAAGCTAACAAAAAAACTTTCACGACAACCACTTAAGTATCTGGATTTTTTTTACGATAAAAATCCTTCACCAGTCAACTGGATGAGAAAAATATTGAATTCATGGAATCTTGAAGTACAGATTTTATTTAGCACAGTAATAAGATTCGTTGTTGACAAAAACTGTTACTGTGCTTTCTTCGATTAATAAAGCTGTAATAATTTAAAACCTACAATTTGTTTCTTTTGTCTTAACCTAACAAAACAAAGTGACCGATCCAAACTAAAACAAAATTAACCTTTCGACTAAATTGTGAACCATCTTTACTTTTCACTGTTTTCAACAGATTGACTGGCAAGCAAGGATCTCGTATATAAGATATATTAGTATTTTTTACGACCAGGTCGTTACATAATTTCTGTTCATATTTTTGAAGAGCTTCATTCACGCCATAACCAAGAAATGTTGTTACAAAAAGTCGGTAGCTGAAAATATGTCAATTTAATTTTATGCAAGTAGTGTGTTGATAAGCAAACTAAAACAAGCATGCTAGAAAATCACGGAGAAAAACCTGTATGCCTGCTCATTATCCTTGCAGCCCAAGTTGATGCTTTCCACAGATTCATTAATACCACTTGTTAGATTTAATTCAACCGCAATTTGTATCGATGCGCCACCCATATCTATTATACCCACTGTAGGTTGCCGCGTAAAGTCTGTCTTATTACGAGTAAACCTGAAAGAGAAAAATAGCTGCACAGCAAACCTCGGGCATGGGAATTAATCAAAAATAAATAAAACTAACTTCCTAAAAATTGAAAAAAAAGCAACTAACCGGCCAAGAATATAATTTACAGCAATCCATGAATAAATTCCTTCCCATTTTCCTTCGATAACTTTAATATGATCCGGAATAATTTGTATGCTTGTTTGAAAAGGCAGATTTTGACGCAGATTTCGCAATACTTTATTTTGTTTTCTGCAAAAAATATATTGCAAATTAAAGGATAAGTTGAACTATTTATAGACAGCAAATTGGAATCAAAATGAATCAATAAAGATCCATACTGAATCTCCAGCTTTCTGTGACTATTTTATGTGGATTCTTTTACCATATTATAAGATATTAAATTCAGTACTCTATGGGAAGTAAACGCATTCCAGCTGTTGCGAATATGAAGAGAGTTGTGTACGAATGTTTGTTCAATGGAATAAACTCAACTGCATAATCCAGAAGAGGCTTAATATACTCTGAAAAATATAACTAAGAAATTTATTTCAAGTGATTTCTCCAATTAACAATTGCAAGGAATCGAAAAATCCATCATTTGCATTTCCGGCCTTTCCTTTATTTGCATTGTTTTGTAAGTATCTTTGGAAAATATGATTATTTCTTATCAGTATTAATACAGAATAACAAATTTTGAAAAACATGTGAATTACCAGCAGCATCCTCAGGTTTATCTCGAAATGAAGCCAATCCGGGAGTGATTTTTTTCACAACAGGACGTAACGATAATTTATCCCGAACTGGTTTTACATCGATTAATTCCCTATCGTTTACGGAGCGGTATTTATAGAGAAAAAGACGAGATCCCGTGGAACCGGCATCTATTACTATTGAATAACTCCATTCTATGTGATTTTTGCCATCTAAATAAAATAAGATAATAAGAAACCTTTCAAAAAAATTAGTTTTAAATTCCTTTAATCGATAATAACTACAACATAAATGAAGTTCAAATGATTTCCACGCATCCAAACAATTTCAAGTTACAGAGGAAATCAGAAGCGATTAATATAAAATTCACCAACTGCTTCTGTCGAATTCGGTAAAACAGAAAATAACAGTAGAATGATGGTAAAAACAAAAAGTGCGGCAGCAGCAAACAATTTCAACATTCCATGGGACATGACCTTTTTAGTATCCTAAGCACTCGTAATAACCGCTGTGGTGGCATCTGCAAATGGTTTAAAATTCGAAACACTGCCATTATGCATGTGCTTTGAATTATGTACGGCAGCAATCGAAACTTCTTACATGCGCAATAAGATTTCCAGTCATAAACACTAACATTTCAGCTTGCCAAAACCTATTTCATAAGTCCAACCCCGCCTACAGTGGCGAGGTTAGTTTGCAACAGAAAAAAATAAATTTGCGAATACAATGCGGTCATCAACAATATGATTAGGGGAAACTAGTTCTATAATGCATGAATTATGAGTGATACGTGATTTCAACCTACTTCACAACGTCACTAATTTATCAACAGATAACCCCATTACCTTCCCACTGTAGATAACTCCTTCGATCTTCGACCGTTCTAATAATAATATGCCTACTCAACTTACCAAATGACGCGCAAAATGTAATGAACTAGGCATTAAAACCACGGTAACTCGGCCAGCATGAGATATTCAAATTATGATATCCAAACAAAAAAAACTTTTCAAACGTTGGCCTCACCGACCCTGACCCTCCATAATCTTCCCAAATACACTCTACATTTCGTGGTATACTTTCGCTTAGGACCAAACATACATCAAGATTAAATCCAAATTCCCTTATGCTTGACAACAAGTAGTGGGTCTGGTATAAAAGGAACACAAATCGTTATAAATTAAAAAGCAATGTAATATGTTGTACACATATCTGAACAGAAAGCAAAGCATGAAAATGAATTAGCATATATTTTAGTTGACTTATTTTATTAAAGCTAATTAAAGCTCAGACAAAATTTTATAATTTAATCATTTAAATTAGGAAAATGCCGTGCAAATTATAACAAGAAATCAAAACATTGAAATAAAACTATGAAACAGCCCTCACCAGCTAAGCGGTATGCATTTTTAAAATGCAATGAAAAATTACAAAATACGCCAAATAAATAATATTCCGTCTAATTCGCTCAATAATTCATGATTTAATCAATACATTTTTAATCGATACATTTTGATACTCGATAAAATTATCCCAGTCTTAATTCACATGCGAAATAAATTAAATAAAACTAGTACA